TATTTAGGACAGTATACACTTGAAAAAGTTTTACGCAACTGTTTCAGAATTGGCAAGAAATTATTCCCATCAAAATGCATTTCATCTGCTTCATCTTCTTCCTCATCCAACTGAGTTACACTCAAACCATTGTAAGTTCATTTAATATTAAAGAATATAAGATAGCACTGCAATATTTTTAAGGTTTCAAACCTTCAGCGCAGTTTGAAATTGACGACTTCATAAAATTTGAGGAGCCGCAAACAGAACCGTTGGATTTGTCAATGTCAAGAACACATATGGGGATTCATAAATTTGAGGAGCCACAAACAGAACCGTTAGATTTGTCAATGACAAGAATGATTGAGAGACGAATTGGACCATCAGATCTATCAGCGCCAGAGATAAGTGGGGGACAAGTAGAACTCAGCGAAATTGATCAGAATGACGCAAGACCGTTGAACCTATCAGTTCAAGAAGTGAGTAAGGAACAAACAAATACAGGGATTGAACCTAAGACATTGTCCCTTCAAAAGGAAACCTTAAGGCTGGAAAAACATACGACTAACACACCTAAGAAGTCGTTTAAATGCAAAACATGCGGAAAGGGTTTTGCTAAGCCATCGGATATGAAGAAACATGTGAGAATTCACACTGGTGATCAGCCGTACAAATGCGAAACATGCGGGAAGGGTTTTGCTCAGTCATCGAATATGTATACACATGTGAGGACTCACACAGGTGATAGGCCGCATGAATGCGAAACATGCGGGAAGAATTTTACTCGGTCATCGGATCGGAATCGACATATGAGGATTCACAGACGTCGTTAATTTTAAGCTATTTTGGTCAATAAATGATAAGGTCTTTGCTAATTTGTATTATTTTATATATTTGATACATTTACTACTGTCAAAAATCAGATCAGATTGCACATTTATTCTTCACTTATCATTGCTTTCACGAAAACGAAGCAAAAAAATTATTTCAGAAAATGAAAAATATATGTAATATTTGTTTCTTCGATATGCAAAATTTATTTTACAGCAAGATTTTATCATGAAATGAATTTCATCACTTCCAACTTTTTTGACTTCAATTTTCAGCTTTTGTCATTGTCTACTAGTTTTTTTGGAAATTATTTTCTCTTTTTTTAAATCAAAGAGCAAAAGTGGTCATATAATTCAAATATTGACCCTACAGTAATAGTTGATATGAGATTAATCAGCGTAATTCTACTGAAAATGTTGTTTGCTTCTTA